GGAGGGCTGGCGGCGGCGGAGGGAGGAGAGGCGGCGGCGGCTAGGTAGGCTCTGATACCAAGTTTGAGAATAGGGTTTTCCGTGGTGCAATGCCTCTCCACGTCTTTCTATATATAATGATCAGCATACACAAGTTACATACGTACATAATACGTGTACATGACACGCTAGACCTATTTAAACAAAGTTAATCACATTATGATGTTCCATGTACACATACTTGGATGAGTTGCCAAACCGGTAAAACATTTGTGTTATTTGTTGGTGCTTAGTTGAAGCATTTTGGTGAGTACTACTACTGTACTCGTTTTAGTTGCATGTTAAAATAGTAGAAACAACGCTGGTATGCACACGATAACATCCAGCCAATGTTTGCACAACGCTATGGTTAGAACCGTCCATCCATAGCAGAAATTGCAGCCCAGCCGCAGATTTACTGTCGTCCTCAAATCGGCTAAGGAAACATCGTCCGTATAGTAGTTTCGTAGTAGAAAAGACAACAACAAAGATCCTATCTGGTTTATTTAAGTCATTAAATGTTTTTTTCATTGTGGTCTGCATTTCTTTTCTTTGTTTGGTGCTTGTCGAGGTAGCATTGGCATTGTATTAAGCATAAGAACATCTGAAACAAAGATGTGTTATTGAAGATATGATTATTGATGCTAGTTAAAACAGTATCTCATTCGTCTATATGCTACATTGATTCTGCAAACTAAATTTTGAATTTTCTTAGTTTCTTGTTAATGGTGTATTGGCATTGGGTATTTGTTTTTATAACCCCGGGTCCTGGATTCGTCTTTAAGATGCACTCTCTCCTATAAGGTGTTTTTTCCATGCTTCTTGTCCGTGTCTCCCCACATTAGGGCAAATATAGGAGAAAATAGGGGAGACTTTGAATCCTGAGATGCAGTTGTGTTGTTGCCATTGCTTTAGAATCGTTCCAAGGCTACACGCCTCTTGATTATCAATTTGGGCACCCTCGGAGAATTAGCAACCTCAACTCGATATTTTATGGGAATGTGATAGCAACCTTATTGTTTGTGAAGTATACATGTTACTCACTATAATCGTTTCATTTAATTGCCAGGCTATAGAAACAGGGCTTGGCTATGGAGAATGGCTCCATGGGGAAGCTGTTGCTGCTGGAACGGTAAGACCAGTTGAATATTTGATACACCTCTTAATCATGACTTTATCTGGTTTCCTTATCGTCGTCTTCTGTTTCCGTGTTGGCACTACGATAGGTTATGGCAGCTGACATGTCTTACCGCCTGGGCTGGATAGACGAGTCCATCAAGAAACGGACATTTGACATACTAGATCAAGCCAAGCTTCCGGTGACACCACCAAAGGGCATGACGATGGAGAAGTTCAAGAACATCATGGCTGTAAGTACCTTAATATTGGCAGAAGCAGGCTGATATGCTTGGACATCTCAATTGTTCCTTTTTAGCATTGATGAAATACAATCTTAATGATTGATGATTCCTTGCATGGCGCATCAGGTCGACAAGAAGGTCGCGGACGGATTGCTGAGGCTCATCCTTCTGAAAGGACCTCTGGGAGGCTGCGTTTTCACCGGCGAGTACGACAGGAAAGCCCTGGACGAAACCCTCCGCGCGTTCTGCGACAATTGATCCTTGTCAAGCTGGAGATCCAGCACTTCTGTATACTAGTAGGCTGTAATATCATATCACACAGAGAGAGTGAGTGCGTTGTGTGCTACCTTTATTTGTTCATTTCGTTTTGGTGAGAATAATGGAGTGTCGTAAGGGGTTGGTTCCAGGTCGTAGTAGCAATTCTTTGTAGGGCATCATACCTCAGTAATTGTGAATTGTGGTCAGTCATTTTGAAAAACAGAATTTACACTTCATTGTCTCCCTTGCGTCGCTGCTGCTCCTTTGCTGACGAGAGAATTTGTTTTCGTTTTACCTGAGCAACAAACCTACAAAGCCGTCGCTATTTTGTGACTCGTCTACTGTACACGGGACAGGTTAGTTTATCTAAACAAGTGTTAGATGGTGCACATGGCGTATCTTTGAGGGCATATTCTGCTGTCGCGTGATATCGGAGTTCAGATTCGGAGCTGCTGCAGCGCCATTGTTTGATCTCGAGGAGGTATCATGTGCCGTAAACAAGTTAAAGGAATCTCCCCGTGCAGTCTACTTGGGGGACACGATTGGTGGCCTGGCTGTCGAAATAATGTGTCAGTTTTACCCGGATCCTATGAATCGAACTGTTCATTCTCATCAAGTTCAAGAAGAAAAGAACTGTTCCTTGTCAAGTTCATACGAAATTTAGACGTAATTTCTGCGTTGCAACACATGAAGGTCGTAACACAGGTAGACGACACAAGGAACTGAAAAGAAATCAACATTAGTCGTGGTAATACTGCATCAGTACATTGTTGTTACAGCTCGGAGGAGCAGCCTCGTCAGGATTCTGTCTCGGGCGGGCACGGTAAAAAAAAGCTCCCCACGATCCATGAACGGGTTACATCCATCCGCAGCTCCCTCGCCTTGCCATCGGCCCATCACACAGCAACAGCAGCGGTGGCTAGAGCCGGAGCAGGCGGCGGAGCTCGTCGGTGGCGCCGACGTCCACGCCCCCGCCCCCGCCTGCCACCTGCACGGCGCACGGGGTCGGCACCTTCTTCCGCCCGGCGCCGGCGGCCAGCAGCAGCGACGTCGGCATCGGGACGCAGCTCGGCGGCGGCGACACCGAGTACATCGAGTCCATCGACGTCCACGCCGACATAGGCGGCGTCGCTACCACGATGGGCGCCGATGCCGCCCCGCTCGCCGGCTTCTTGGGGCTCTTGTTGGCGCGCAGGTCGACCTCGCGGCCAGGCCGGTGCTGCTGCGGCGAGGCCTGGAGGTGCGCGGGCAGGGGCAGGAGCGGCGGCTGCGGGAACGGCCTGCAGGCCATCATCAGAGAAGGCGACGCTGCGGAGGAGGAGCTGCTGCTCAGGGATTTCAAACCACACTCCATCTATGAGTCAGTCTTTTCAAATCTGGTGCCGAAACAAGCGGCTGACCTGAGCAGGGTCGGCTGATTATCTCGAGTAAACGTTGAGAGCTGAAGAACTAAACTAGAATGCAAAGGAAATCAAGCTCCAACCAACAAAAACAGGCGGAGAGATGTAGAATGTATGTATGAAAATCAAAATAAGCTGGAGAAGCTTTGCTTGGTTGCAGATCTAGATCAACTAAAACAGATCGAGATGCAGCCCTGGTAAGCTAGCTAAACTTGAACAGAAAAGAGAAAGAAAGGCAGAAAGGTGAGCCGAAGAAAAGCTGCTGAGCCAAGGAAGGGTAGGGAAGAAGATAATGGTATCGTGCCAAGCAGTCAGTAGAGGTAAGGTATCCGTTATGGTCGTGGCCAGGCGCCCCTGCCATTATATAGAGCCGCGGCGGCAGCGGTCGGTCGGCCGGTACGGTACCACCCGCTCCCCTCCTCTCCTCCCAACGGACACTTGCGGTGGTGGGGGTGGACCGGTGGGTGGGAGCGCGTACGTAGTACGTTAACGTACCGTGCGTTCGTGCTCGCCGTGCTCGCTCGCGCGCAGCTTCCGTCGCCTTTCCTCGGTTCGGCTCGGGCGGCGAGCGGAGACCGGGCAGAATGATTTGTTTTCCGTTGGGGGGCGCGCCGCATATGGGAGGTCGCGTGCGCTGCCGACAAGGGGGCTAGTAGGGGAGGAGATTCGCGAGCGATCGGCCCGATGCGTGCGGGGCGGGGCTGGCCGTGGGATCGGGGTGGCAGTCGCCCGGCGAGTCGGCACGTGGAAAGTCGTCCCCTGCCACCACCGTGCGCGGTGCCTCGCCGGCCTTCCACGGCTCCGTGCCGACGGGGGGCGTGCGTGCGTACGTTATGTGGGTTGGGCGCTGGTAAACCCTGGTCGTTCGGCACGCGCACTCCGGCGTATGCGGCGGCGCATCCCTGTATGCCGCTGGGTTGCCAGTTGCCACATGCGCGCGCCACCACTGCGGATTCCTCACCCGCTGGTCACGCCTCCGCGCGCCGTGCGTGCGTACGGGCGTGCACCGTGCGTGATGGTTCGGAGGGCCGGAGGGGTGCTTGCTTTGCTTGTATGGACTACGGAGGCGGAGTTGGTGATGGTCGTGTTTTCAATGGAGGTGTGGTGTGGTGGGACTGCTGCGGGTGCTGGGTGTGTTGGTTTTGCCCGTGCGTACGTGACGGCGGTGTCGATTTGTTTACGATTTGGGCGGTCCCCTCGCCTGCCTCGGCTCCGGCGTCGGGAGCCGATCGAGCTCGTGTCTTTCGATCAAAGGAGCTCATGCTCGGAAAGTAACCTTCGAAATTAAAAAATCAAAATAAGTTATAAAATTTCCGATTTTTTATGACAAACATTGACAAAAGTTTGATGAGCTCGTAAAATTTCATCATGAAATCACATTTGTGGAAATAAATAAATAAAATCAGTGCTCTAAAATGATTTTGAAAGTAGCATTTTCATAGCATCGATTTTGTTTTTTTCACAACTTCCACAAATGTGGTTTCATAATGAACCTTTGCAAGATCTTAGAAACTTTTGTTAATGGTTACGTTTTTTTAGATTTCCTGAATTTGTTTTGATTTTTTTTCATTTTATTGTTCATGAGCTCGGGCTAAGAAACTCCACGTCCCTCATGCTCCCAATTCATGAAATTACTAAGACAAACACCAATCTGACAAACACCAACACAAACACACGCTTGTTTACGGTCACTAGCATGAGAATTTGTGTTGGTCATGCATTGCCTTATCGGACTATCTGTGAGGATGTGTATGTAACCATATCTCAACGTACTATGTATGTAATTTGCGGGAAATTTTATTTGTACAAATCTATACGCGCAAGATGAAGGAAAGAACGTATGGTTTCGCTGATTAAAACCGTGGATTACAACATGTCAATCAGAAAAAATAAATAGGAATAATTACATTTATTGGTAATAGATAAAAAAACAAAAAAAAACTTCATATATCTACCATTCTCTCTACTTGCGTTTAACTACACCGACATAAGGAAGCTCCACCGAACCTAAGTAGAGTTTCCCATTCTCTCTCTCCATTATTTCGGTTGGCCTCACGCCCTTTGGCCCCCTCATCTCCTCGACTATCTTCCCGTTAGCACCGATCCTCACAACGAGAAGATGGCTATCACGACCAATAGGCAACTCATTCTTCTCATGGTGCAACGCCACCCAATAACCTCCTTTCCTGTCGGGCCTCACGTTATCCGGGTAGCCCGGTGAGCCAACAAAAGGTTCAGATGTGAATGTGTTGATCGCTTTGATCCAGTGCCTTAGCAGCTTGCACGGCCCAGTCGGTGCGACAACAAGGTCAAGGGAGCGCGACGCCATTTGGGTATGTCATCCCGGCTTGGAGCATGGTGACGTCCGACGTCCATGGGTCGTACATCATGAGGCGGCCCGTCGAATCCCCTGTCTTGGTGAGTGGTGACCATCTCATGCTGCGACCTCTTGTACTGCATCGAGCTGTCGGTGAAATAGACTTGGCCGGTAACTTGATCAAAGTCAACCCTGTTGGTGAAGCGCAGAGGCACACCATCAACCCGGTCAACGTCCTGCCAGAGGAGCCAAAGCAGCAGCACCACCATTCTCTCCTTTTCGGAAGAAAGAAAGACATGACACTGTGTCCACAAAAAAAAAACAATATCAGTTATGTAGTGATGAGCCTGAAAGCTGATCATCGTCGACAGCCTCCCCTTAAATCATACACCACATGCATTGCAGCGTAAGTTGCAAATGTGATCACGAGGCCATCCACGCTTTGCCAGCATGGGTAACTCCCTAATTGAATACGGTAAGCTACAGAGGAGGCACTGTAAAAGTGTAAATACCATCGGAAGTCCATTTCCAGGTGATGAAACATCGTTACTCACGGCCTCAAGGAATTTTTTCAACTGGGCACAAATTTTATTTGAAAATATCGATACACAGCTGCCCATAAGAAAGAAATTCTAGCAACCAAACAAGCTCTATATACTACAGGAAAGACGAAATCCTAGGAATGAAATCCAACAAAATCATTTTGAGTTACAGGCCCTCACCAATGTAGAGTAGTTCAGAACACAGAGAGGCATTTTTCTTTCGGTCACAGACAGAACGACATGAAAAGCGGATATCTTGCTTCCATTCACAAAATTCAGATAAGAACCGCAACTCCAGTGCCTCGGCGACATCTATACAGTTACAATGACGTTGATGTCCGGTACATACAATACATACGAAGTCCTAATAAGTGACTCCGTACCTGAATTATCATAAGGTGTGTATCATCATACTATAAGCACTCTAATTACTACAGTAATTACTAGCACCTGCAACACGAATGTGGACCAAGAATGTTGTCCAAGAATCTGCAGAGGTACTGTCACAGTCCAACTTCACCTGCCATCCGGATGCATGATCTGCGAGAAAACGGCGCTCGGCGTCAGCCCGTCCGAGTCCACGCTCGCGATGCTCCGTCCCGTCATGCTCATCGTGGTCGTGGTCGTCGTGGTGGTGCTTGCGTCCGTCGACGGCTCGTCCGACTGCAGTCTGGTCATGACGAGAGGCGACGCGCCCGACGACGACAGTGTCCCCTCAGTGAGGCTGCCGGTGTCCTCCTCGCTCTCCTGCAGCTGGAGCGCGAACTCGAGGTTCCAGAGGACGTCGCCCATGGACGGCCGGTCGACGCTGCGGTCGGCCACGCATTTCTCCGCGGTGTCCGTGAACTTGAGGAAGCACTGGGGCGCGATCTTCCCCTGGAGCACCGGGTCCATGACCTGGCCGAGCACGCCTTGCTTCTGGCAGCGCAGCGCCCAGTCGGCGAGGCTGATCTGCTCCTTGGGCAGCGAGGGGCTCAGCGCGGGGCGCGCGCAGAGCACCTCGAACAGCACGACGCCGAAGGAGTAGACGTCGGATTTCTCCGAGAGCTGCTGCCGCCGGAAGTACTCCGGGTCGAGGTACCCGAAGCTGCCCTTGACGACGGTGCTGACGTGGGTGGCGTCCATGTTGGGCCCCGTCTTGGACAGCCCGAAGTCGGAGACCTTGGCGACCCACTTGTCGTCCAGCAGGATGTTGGTGGTCTTGACGTCGCGGTGGATGATGGTGTGCTTCACGCCGGTGTGCAGGTAGTAGAGGCCCCGGGCGGCGCCGATGCAGATCTCGAGCCGCTTCTTCCACGACAGCGGCGGGTTCTTGGTGTTGTAGAGGTGCTCCCGGAGCGTGCCGTGGGCCATGTAGTCGTACACCAGGATCATCTCGCTCTTGTCCTCGCAGTAGCCGATGAGGGACACCAGGTGGCGGTGCCGGAGCTTGGACAGCATCTCGATCTCCGTCTGGAACTCGTGGACGCCCTGCTCGGACATCGGGTTGCACCGCTTGATCGCCACCTTGGTGCCACTGTCGATCTCCCCGAGGTACACGTTCCCGAACCCACCTTTGCCGAGCAGGAAGGCCTGGTCGAAATTCTTGGTGGCGGTCTGAAGCTCGGCGAAAGTGAAGTGGCGGCAGAGGTTGGATGGCAGCGTCGACCCGGTTGTGGCCGTGTTTCCCGACATAGCTGACCGTGATCCGCTATACTCGGTGAGAGGAGTCCAGTGACCATCTTCAGATTTACCACCAGGATCCTTGGATATCTTCTTCTTGTTCTTCTTGTTCTTTCGTTTGCAGATGATGCAAACGCCAAAACATGTGACCAGCAGCACTGCGAAACCACCAACAGCTCCACCTATGATAGCCGCGACAGATTTCATTTTGCCAGACGCCGCGCCGGGACTGGCATCAGTTGGCTTTTGTGGAAGTGGAGGATTGAGCCCAGAAAGATTGTTCGGTGATCCGTAATTCTGTAGCTTGAAGATCTCAAGACCATTCAGTATTGCATCAAAATACTCTGGTTTACTTGAAAGATCAGGGTGAAGTGCAATCCACATGTCCACCTGACCAGAACCAACAGCCATGATAACATAGTCTGTGTATGCTGTTCTACCGATTCCTCCGCTCCAGACGATGACATCCATTTGCTCCTGCGCTGTCTGATTGTTGATGTAGATGAAGAAGGACCTCTGATTCTGCTTTGTAATAGGATACTGAATCTCACAGAAATGGAACCTTAGGAGGTAACTGAACCCCGCATCAACGGGTAAAATCCATGTAAGGTTGTAGTTGAGGTTGATCTGTGCAGTTGGCCCCATCGACCGAGCTGTACCATAGACATCAACTGGCGCCGTGTAATTCGGCACGTTGGATGTATAGGTGATGGTCAAATTATCATCTTTGGAGAAGGTCACCCCAGAGCCACCAAATATGTAGGGGGCATCATTGGCCCATGAGCGGTAGAAGCCCGAGTCACCTTTCGGGGAAATGGCTTGGCCCCCGACATTGAGCCGGTACATAGTCTGGACGGCCATGCCAGCGTCGAATGAGAATGGGGCTGTGTTATCACCGACATATCTTGTGTCAGGTGCTGTGAAGATGTCAGGAGTGGGCACAATCTCAATGCCGTTCACAAATGCGTAAGAACCATTGCGATGTGCTGATGGGGCAAAGGTGAGGTCCAAGGAGGATCCTGAAGAAACATTCACCGAGAACTCGCGCACAAGGAAGGCAGAAGTGATCGCCTGAGCTGTTTGCGAAGCACTGAAATCATTTAAGAGGACAAGATTCCGTGTCGTGACACTGAAGAAGGCATCTGAGACGGCATAGTTTGCATAAGCAACCGGATAGAAGTAGAGGCGTAAGAACATGCGGCCTGGGTTGACAGAGAAGGAATAGGTGTAGTTTGAAGTGAAGATGCGTGCAGTCATAAAAGGGACCGTGGAGGGGAGTGAAGGGTCTTGGTTTGGAGCAGTGGTTGCAACTCCTTTCAATAATGGCGCGAACTTGGAGCCGGTGTCCCCGACCCAAGTACGACCACTATCATCAGCTTCTTGGGTCGATGCTCCGCAATTTACGAGGATGAGGCCAGTGGAGTTGTTATCAGCCGCCATGGCGAGTGATAAGAGAGCTAACAGTGTGAGGCATGTGAGGGTAACTGGTAGGGCTGGGAAAGCCATTTTGGATTTTGCGGTGGTTGGTGTACCAGAATCAAAGAATTGGGGACTCCATCGGATCAACTTGCTACAGGATGTTTGCATAATGCAAGAACATTGTGATTTTCTTCATCGGTTTTGAGGTAAAAAAAATTCAGACTGTTGTTCAGTGAAGAAGGCACACCTAGAAAGTCACAACCTGCAAAAAAGAAGTTGATAATTCAGTAAACTTGAAAAACAGATAATCGATGTGAGGGAGAACATCAACGTGTATGAGTAAAAGAACACTAGTAGAACTTGCAAGCAAATTGAAGTTGCTGATATAACCAAAAAATGGAAACTGTTGGAGAAGAGATTAATATGAATACGCTGCTCAATAATTCAGCTTTTGTGTATTTTTAATTTCTTTCAAATAAGAAAACAACTTTCAGATATTTAGCTATCATGAGGGCAGATGCAGCAGCATGTTACTAGTATAACACTGCATAAACGCAGAGCAAGTTTAAGAAAACAACACATCAGGGAAAAGGTAGCTATATTTCTTTATAGAGGGAGTACATGGCATTTGTGAATGAAAACTTGAACAGATCACACCAAGAAGAGAAAATAAAACATAGAGCAACAGTCCTGAATGAGGGATGATTCTACATCTAGAAAAGAAACCGGTGGACAACTGACCTTCTATTTTTCTGAAATGGTATTTCCCCTAAAAAAAGACGGCCTGCTGTTGTTGCTAAGGCTGTAGCTCACATATACTCTTTTCTTTTGAAACCAGACCACCAAAACAAGAAAGAGTACCCAAATGACCGCCAGCCAGACTAAATCACCCGGCCGGCGGATCGTCGAAGAAAGAGGTAAACAAACCCTTTGATTTGCCGAATTTGGCGCCAAAACTACGTCTACTGGAACCCGTCAAGCACAGTAATGGAGCTTTGTCCGAATCAAAGGAGCTCGAAAAGGACGAACGAGGAGGTGGAGGAGGAGGAGGCATGGGGTTACCTGAGCAGGAATGAAGGCTGAGCTCGCTCGTGTGGGAACTGGGAGGAGAGATCGGAGCCGCGGGGGAGGTGAAGAAGGCCCCGGCGGTGGCGGCGGTTCACGCCGCGTTTGGTGGGCAAAAGTGGCGAGAAATGGAGCACGCGCTGGCTCAGTGCTTTCTTTTCGGGGGGATTGTTCGCGTGGTACTCGGGTACGTTAGCACTAAATATTGTACTCTACTACTGCTGGGGTTTTACATACAAGTACCTCTACTCCTGCAAATTCTATTCAGCGGTTCTTTAAATTTTCATTTTTGTGGAAAGCGGTTCTTTAAATTTGAAACATCAAAATCGCTACTGTCAAAGCATCTACGGTCGGGCGTCTCAAGCCGGCCTCAAACGCCCAGGTGGCTGACCGGTCACTGACCGATCAGAAAAACCAACCCACCCGAACGCCTTAAACCGACGCCAAACGTCCAGACTGTCTAGCGCCCCGGATATGGGGTGGCCTGGGCGTGCCGGACCCACTATCGACCCCACTATGTCCCCACAAAAAACCCCAATTTTGAAAACCCTTACTCACTTCATTCCGCTCTCGCTTAGTCTCTTCTTTTCCCCTCCTCCGATTTCTTCCGATCCAATCCGATGACTCCAGTGAGCATGTCGACCTCCGATAGCCGCTCCAACTCCGACGTCAACGTCTACGAGGAACTCACCCTCCGAATTGCGCTGGAGCGGTCCAAGGTGGACAGGGGGGGACAATTCCGGTCTGCTCCGTCCTCTTCCTCAACTCCCGATGCTCGTCGACGCAGCGCCGACCCGTCTCGTCCGTCGTGTAGCTCCGAACGCCCCGCTCTAAATCTCCTTCAGGTACGCCGCCCACCACCACCACCATTTGCTCCGGATGTGGTACACGGGCGCTACTGGGTCCTCGTGCCCGCGTCGACGCCGGCGCGCATGAGGACGCCCGAGTCAGAGGCATGAGCAGCCCGTCGCGAGCAGCAGCGACCGAGGAAGAGGGCGCCGGCAGGGGAGGCGCTGATCGTACGCCGGGCACGCGAGCGCGTAGGTAGATCCCGAGGCCGCACTCCTAACCCCAGCCCCCCGCCGCTCTCTCACGACGACGAAGACGGATGCGCGGCTCCTCCGCCGCCAGAATGCCAAGGCGCTCTGACTCATCATCTAGCTATCGGAGCGCGAGGCAGACAAGGAGACGGCGGCCAAGGCGAAGGCGGCCTGCCATGCGAAGGAGCAGGACCACCTGCTCTGCAGGCTATCGGGCCAAAGGTGCAACTCCGACTTCGACCTGATGGATGGCTCCACCTACAGTTCCAACGACGACGCACCACTGCACGCCGACGCGTACAAGGAGGAGGGCGCAACTACGCCCAGTGATCGCAATGGGAAGGGGCCGACGAGGAAATGGTGATTTCCTCCGCCCTTCCCCATTTTGTCTATGTTTTATTTATGTTTTAAGTAGTTTGTAGTATGGATTTGAACTGTCCGCCGATGAACTATAGTCCTCAAGTTCGGCGAAGCAATGATGATTCGGCATGTTGATCATGTTTATACGTAGCGTTGCATGGGTTTGATGTTTTGGATATGAGAGACACGACTGTGGGAGAAAACATATCTGGTGTGACCATACCCGCGTTTGAGGGGCCATATTTGCTGTCCGCAGCTGTAGATACTCTTATTGGTCTAATTGAATGATGATCAAGGTACACTCCGTTTCTCTCCTAACTGTATGATGCCCAACCCTATTTTTGCAGGTTCTATCCAATAATTTCATGTTGCACACTATGAGTGCATGGGAGCAAATTCCCTCATGACGAAACTAGTGACTATTACCTCCGCCCTGGTACTAGTTCTATTTTGGGTCATACTCCCTCCGTCCGTAAATAAATGTACATCTAGCCTTTGTCGTAAGTTAAAGTTTTAAAACATGACATAGGAAAAAGTACCAGCATTTATGGCACTAAATTAGTATCACTAGATTTGTTTTGAAATGTAGTTTCATAATATGCCAATTTGATGTCATATATGTTACTACTCTTTCCTATAAAGTTGGTCAAAATTTTAAAACTTTGACTTAGACCAAAAGGTAGAGGTACACTTATTCGCGGACGGAGGGATTATGTTGATCATGATCTTAACTAATACTACCTTCATTTCGAAATATAAAATGTTGGAGTAGTAAAATATAAGTTATACATAGCAAAAATAATATCAGTGAAAACTACATTTAAATACCAATCTGACAATATAATTTCTAGTAGCATGCATCATTATTTGTTATTTAAATATGTGATCAAACTTTGACCCCAAATACGATAGGGAGTAATAAACCCAAACAGAGGTAGTGGTTGTTAGTTCTGAGCCATTCCCTCTCCGGTGAGGGGTGTTTTTGTTGAGTTACCTGTAGCAGGGCCTCGCCATCTTGTACAACGTTCGACATTTGCACCCGACGACTATGTAACTCTTTCCCTTTCTTTTCGGGATCAGCCGTTTAATTGAAACTTTGTCACATGGACAACATGGCATACTAAAAATCCACCGACTTGGACAATAAGGAATAAACATTTCAGAAGTTATTTCAGCGGGGTCATATTAGCACGGTGCATATTAATCACGATACTCTAGCCCCAGTCATAAATCAGTGAACTTGGAACATGTATCAGCCCTTCTGGTGAACCTTCTCCTCTCCCAACCCTAGCAAGAGCTAATCTTGGGTGCACCATGTCGTAACTTCCCCGTTGTCGGTAGGTCACCACCTCCCCTCCTCCGGTGGCCTTGAGCACGAATAAGACCCGACCTACCAGATGGAGATGCAGTTTCCCTGGCGATTTCAGGTAGGCGTTTGTTGTCCATTGCTTTGACCCTTCCGACGGTGGTGTACAATAAAGTCATCTTCGACAATGTGTCATTGAGGTGGTAGTGGCATCTGGGTGGTGAATAATTCCTTCTCGAGCCTTCCCGTCATGATGGTGTTGTTTGTGGTAACATGGTTGTTTCGTGGGTATATATATCCCTTTTGCTTACTCTAGACGCGAGGTTATGTTTAACACGTTTTGTCATGGCGGGGCGTCTTCCCTTCACGACTGAGTCCTCGAGCCTCATCTTCATCACCTCGGTGCTCCTTTTGGTGCCTGCGTGAGGTACACAAGACTTTTTTGAGGTTGGGCTCTTGAATCTACGACTCTTTCGTTTGAATGACTTCTTCTCCGGTGCTATGATCTGGCAAGACCGTGGCATTTGATGACTTCATGTCCGTAATCAACAATGTTTGGGGGGCATATGGTATTGGAGTGACTTGCGCAACAGGAAGAAGACGGCCGACCCTAATGAACTTTAACGGATAACGGACGAAATGGCGAGCTATTTAAGAAATGTGATTTCTTATTGTTTCGATGATTCTCAATGGAAGATCGTGGTGTTTTTCTTTTTACCAATTTCTTTTGCAAATAAAAGAAAATTCCGTTCGTGGGATGAAGTCGTAGTTTCTGGAAAGCATAGGGTTGTTTTACGCCATGGAGCCTCCCAAAGTGGAGCAGCCTGTGGCCAGTCAACCGGTCAACAGAAAGCGACGGCCAGGAATTATTGCGGGCCTGCCCGCCATGCTATTACTCATTATCCAGGTTCCTTCCGGATTGGCAGTCGGAAGCAGCTTGGGCGTGGTTCAATGGCGAGTCGCGGTCGAGCTCCCGTGTGGAGCATGCAACCCATGGAAAAGACCGGCAGACTTACTAAACTACTCGTCATTAAACGTGAGACGCCGAGGGGGGCTAGAGGTAGACCTCAGCCGGTCAATGGCTGGCTGGACCCCAGATAGATAGGTGCGGCACGGTGCTGTAGCTCTCGCCGTTGGCCCCTGTTTTGGCACCAAGGGCACGTCGCCGCGCGAGGTCTTCGGTGGACTCAGTCAACGGAGGAAGGGGTGTGTGGAATTGCAGTGCAATATTCCTAATTTATTAGTCCTCTTTGTATTTAATGTTAAATTTTAATCTTAAATTTAACTAACAAAATATTAATGCATGTTACAAAAAATAATGTAATTAAAAAACTATATTCAAATGCGAATCCAACTATATAATTTTTTATAACATGCATTAATATTTTATTAGTTAA